CCCACCCCCACCCCGACCCGGAAAACTGCGCGATTCCCTTCCCCATCACATGCTGCCCCTCTGCACACACACACACAGACATGGGCACCCACACATGCACACACATCACCCTGGGCTGATCAATCCAGGGCCCAGCAGGGATTAGCTGTCTGCAGGGGCCTGTAATGGACACTGCAGGAAGAAGGGCCGGGAGGAGGGCCAGGGGAAGGAGGCCTCTGGGCCATGCTGCGGCGCTACCCACTGAGACTTGGTCTGTGACTGCCTGTGGTCCAGGGCCCTCCTCTCCACAACAGGCGTGGTAAGGAGACCATTGTTATCCCCATCTCACACCAAAGAAACCACACTCAGGAGGGTCCTGAAACTTGCCCAAGGTCCCGGCTGCTCGGAGGAGCCAGGAGCCCCCCGCCACTGCTGCCTGCCTACCGAGCCCATGCCTGGGTTCTGTCCCTGACATACCTACCCCAAGACCCAGCGGAGAAGGACACAGGGATTCTAGAGCCTCAGGGGAAAAGTACAGGCAAGGCCAGGCTAAGGCAGGCAGGAGGAACAGAAGCACAATTTGTGTGGGGCGAGCTGGGCGGAGGGGCAAGAGCCTGGGCGATGCCAGAGAGGGAAGGTGAGAAGGGGACCCAGAGGGGTCATCTGAGAAGAAGGAGGTGAAGAATTGAGGCCTCAGTCTCTCTGAGAAGCCATGGGATTCACAGATCCTACCGGCGTTCAAGATTCAATCAAACCCAGCCCAAATCAACCCCCCAGCCACCTCCTGACACATCCCACACCTTCCGTCAGTGACCAGTAGCTCACTCTCCCAGTCCACACACACTCCCTGGCCCACAGCTGTCCACCCCCACCCCCCAACACCCTCCCCCCAACACCCTCCCCCTCCCCCTGGTCCCCAGGCAGCCCCATCAGCCGACCTGGGCAAAACAGCCTCTGTCTGCTTTGGGCCCTGCATGAACCAACAGCCTTGACAGAGGAGAGCCTCAGCTCAGGCCTGGGCTCAGCCCAACCCGGGCTGTTGGGGCCCAGGAAGTCTGGAGGCCATGCCTGCAACTTCCCCACACCCACGGACCTCAGCCAAATGTCCACTGAGCCCCCAGAAACACCCCACCCAGAGATGACGCCTGGCTGGAGAGCCTTCCCTCCAGCACTGGCAAGATGAACCAACTACATAAATAACTCGGGTTCAGAGAGAAGCTGATCTGAGCCTGGAGAGGTGCAGAAAAGCGTACACAGGATCAGAGGAGAGAGACAAGAGCAGCAAGGCAGAGAGATGGAGGCAAAGCTGACGTGGGGGTAGACACGGGAGAGGACACTCAGGGCTGAAAGAGAGGCACCCCGACAGGGAGCGCAGGAGGGTCTGAGCGGAAGAGAGTCACTGACTGCAACCTGGGGTCTCAGACCTGGGCGGGCTTCCTGCCCCCCGCCCTTCGGGGTGGCCCAGCCCCTCTCAAGGCCACTCTGAGCATAAGAACTGGTTGCAAAGGCCTGGCTCCTACTAGGAGGTCCATGGCTACAGCGTGGGAGACCTTGACCATCCAGATGAGAATGGCACCATCATGACCATGTGTGGGTTCCTATAAATAACTGCCACTGCACCTGCCCTCTAGGGAGCATCAGCTGTGACCTGCCAGTGCTGTCCGGTCCACAGACAGCCCTGGGCCCTGTGCCTCCAAGCCGGGCCTCCCCACTCCCAGCAGCTCAGGGCCTGCAATGAGGGGTGGTGGGGTGCGGAGCTTCCTTTCCTGCGCCCTTCATGGGTCCAGCTCCTCCAGCACAGGCTGGCCTCCCTCGCACACGCCCCATGAGGACTTCTGAGCAGTGGAACTCAGGGGCAAGCGGGCCAGATTCTACCCCCACCCCAGCTGTCCCTTCTCCCCAACTGTCCCATCCCCCCCCCCCCACCCCGACCAAGGACCCAGCCCGCCAATCCCTAATCCTCTCTGTCATCCGACCCAGGCTCCACCCCAACTTGACTCTGCCCAGCCACCTACTGAGGCCCAAAAATGGAGAGAGTCATTTATAGAGGGTCCGACAAGCCAAATGCGCGATGGGAAGATGACCTCAGGGTACTGAGCACCCTGTGGGCGGCTGGGGGCTGGGAGGTCAGCTGTGACAGAGCCATGCTGGGCTGGCAGACCCCAGGGAGCCTTCCCGTGTGGTCTTGCACTCTCGTCACACCAGGGCCAGAGCCCACAGGCCCTCACAGCAACAATTAGCTCCCTGCTGGCCAGAGCCACGTGCACCCTGCTCCCCTCAGCACCCCGGGCCCAGCCAGGCCCAGGTGCTCCACACAAGTCCTGGTGGGATTTGCTGAATGAGGGAAGGCTGAGGAGCACTCTGGTCAAATCACCAACCCAGAGCCTGCATCAGGACTCCCACACCAAGCCCCCAAACACCCCTGTTTGTTCCTAACCATCGCTCAGGACTGGCTGGGGCCAGGTGAATGTGGGGTGCCTACACGGATCTGCCCAACCCCCAGGGAGCACCTGGACCAGTGGTGGAGGCTGGCAGGTGGAGGAGCAACAGCAGGCCCCCTGAGGAACTCAATGAACTGGGGGATAGGACAGCTGGTTCCAAAGGCACCAGCAAGCAAGCTTTCCTCCCCCACAAAGTCCCCCTCTGAATCCTGGTGGATTGGGCTGAGAGGAGATGGGGGAAATCGAGGGCGAGGAAGAGGAGAGATGGGGCCCTTCTTCCTACACGGATGTTGCCTAGGCCCTCCACCCAAGCTCCTGCTCGTCCCTGGTCAGGAAATACCCTGCCATGGTAACGGGACAACTGGAATTGCCCCATTACTCACAGATTTGACCAAGGCAAGGTGGGGGCGGGGTGCCCATGAGACCACTGACCATGCGAGTTAGATGTGGCCCTGAAGGCCACCAGAAGGCGCCGAGGAGGCAGCCAGGCCAGCAGCAGCCAGCCTTCCACACAGACAGCCTCTGAAGGGCAGAGGGGAGAGACTGGTGGGGGGTCGAGGCACCCGGCTTCCTGGACCAACAGGGGAGGCTACTTTTCCAGACTCAGCCAGGATGCCTCTGCTGCTGCTCTGGCTTCTGGAGAGGAGGGTGTCCCCAGCCAGAGCCCACGGGGCAGAGAACAGCCACAGAGCTAAGCAAGTCCAGTCCCACGAGGGCCCAGGCTCGGGCAGGGCCAGCCCTTGGCCAAGGCCAGTATCTACAGCTGAGCAGCCGTCAGCCAACCGCCCAAGGCCACAGGACAGAGGCTAAAGAGGGAGGGGCGGCAGCTCAGGGGGGTTAGTGGAAACACGTCGCCACATACCCAGAGGGAATACGGCCCAGGCCTGCCGCCCCTGAAATCACTGAAAGATGCTGCTGCAGAAACAAGGCAAGTGGGGCAAAGGGGACAGAGCAAGAGCAAAGGGAAGGCCCGGACATCACTGGAATGGGGGCAAGGAAATTGTCTCAGCCTCCCTCAGCTTCCCGTCCATCCCCCTCAGCCCCTTAGGTGCAGGAAGCAGGCTTAGACCCAGGCACCTAAACGGATTAGCCAGTCCTGGGGGAAGGGGGGTGGGAAGGAGGGAGCAAGAGCAGCAGTATCTGTCCCCCACCCCCAATCTAGGCAACTGAAGCCGTCCCAGCCTCCAGCCAGCTATCAGTGGGGCTCTAATCCCTCCTCCCGCCCTGGGGAGGGGAGGAGGACAGCTGGGGCAGGCCAGATTTGGAGTCTGGTTGAGGGCCCTTCCCTCTACACGACCCACCACCCCCTTAGCCCGGGACCACGGGAATGAGCTGCAGACTCTGAGGGAAGCGCCGGGGAAGCTCCAGCGGCCGCCGCCGCCCCCCACCCACGACGATCACGTGGCTGCATCCTTAGGGAGCCCGCAGGTCTCAGCTGCAAAAGTCATTGTTTATAAACAGCCACAGCCAGGCGGGGGAAGGCCGGCCGGTCTCCGGGTTCCCGTGCGTCGGGCGGGAGAGGGGGCAGACTCGGCCGGGGGGCGCTGAGGGGGGCCACCCTGGTAAGATCACAGATTCTGCGATCTCAGATTTCAGAGTCGGAGTCGGCAGGGGAAGTGGCGTCAGCAACTGGCGCGATCCAATTCAATAAACCAGAGGTGGCTGGGGATGGAAAGCCGGCGCGCGCGGACCCCCGCCCCCAAGCCCTGCATTTCCTGCACAGTCAGGTCGCCACGGGAAGCCCCGGCTCCATCCCCCAGCCTACGGCCGGGGGCTCTCCCGGCCGAGGGGTCGTGTTTCCTGCGGCGGCCTGCCGCGCCTTCTCCGCTCCGGCTGGCTCCCCACCCGGCCGCGGGCTCCCCAAGCCAGAGCCGCCACCCTCACCTCGGCCGCCGGAAATGCGAAGCCCCTTCTAGGGCGAGGGCACTTCCCAAGGGGCCCGCAGCCCTCCCCTCCCGCGGGAGCCGGACCGGAGCTTCCAGGCCGCGGGCACCCCTGGTGAAAGGAAACCTGACCGCTCCCTCAGCCCGCGGGGACAGAAGGTGGAGAGGAGGGCACGGCGGGCGCAGGAAACGCTCGGAGGCCTGGAGCCGACGCGCCGGCACTCGCGAGCAGAGGGACAGCCTCGGGAATCCCTGGGGACAAGGGGCAAACGCCCTCCCGGCTAGCGCCGGCCCCGCCCGCGGGGAGGGCTCGGAGCGCCACCTCGCCTCCGGGCCTCCCGGCCTCGGCCTCCAGGCCGGGTTAGCCGGGACCTCGCGCCCGGAAAGCCGGGGCCGCTTCTCCGCTGCAGAGAAGCAGCGACGATGCAAAGCGGCTGGAGCTACGGGGGAGGGGAAGGGGGAGGGGGTAGAGACAGCTGCGCCCTCTCCTGCCCCCGCCGGGGGGGAAGAGACGGAGGACGCGGGCGCGGGAGGACACTCAGAGCGCTGCGGCGCGCAGCCTGTGGACCCCCGAAGGTCCTCGGCAGCCCCCGTCTGGAGGTGACAGCGCCCGGCCGCGGAGGAGGACCAGCCCCCGGCGCGGGGGTAGGGGACAGGTGTCCAGGCGGCGCGGGGGCAGGGGCTCGGGCTCGCTCACCTTCTCCTGCGCCCGAGTGAGCTTCTTCTGCACGTTGCTGGCGATCTTCCCCGCCGTCACCCCCTTGCTGCCCATCTCAGCCATTGCGGCTCAGGCTTGCCCGGTGGCGGGCGCGGATCTCCCAGCCCCCAGCCCCGGCCCCGGGCTCCCGCTCCACGCCGCGCACCAGACCGCCGAGCCGACTGGCGGAGGCGGAGCGTGCGCCCGGCGAGCGAGCGAGCGACGCGGGGACCGAGGGAGGGACGGACGGAGGGAGGGAGGGGGAGGGAGAGAGGAGGGGCCGGGCCTCGGGTGGCGGTCAGCGCCCCCCGCCCGCCCCCTCCGGACAAGACACTGCCTTTTAAAGGGCCACCCCGGAGGCCAGAACCGGTCAGCCGGCGGGGAGGGAGCGGCGCCCACCGTCACCGCGGCTACAGTGGCTGGCCGGACTCCCAGGACACTTCGCTGACACCGCCCCGGGGCGGAACTACTACGACCGCCCCGGGTCCGACGCCGCCGCGAGCCCTTCTTTCAACCCAGTAGATACCTCCCGCCGCCCAGGAAAAGAGACCAGATGGAGGAGAAGGGCCCTTTCACAAACCGAAGATAAAGTGGGTGGCGTTTGCTCAGCGCCCCGGGGATCCGGGAGCCTGCGCTGGAGCGCGCTCACCGAGGGTCCCCTTCTTGATGCCCGGCCTCTTCCTGGAATCTAGGTTCACCCTTCTCGACCGGGGTTCTCGGGAGCCACCGGGGAACTGTTCCTCCTGCCTCGTCCCTTGCTAATCAGACGCTGGGTCTTCTAATCTGCGGTTAATCATGATAACAACAGCCTAACGGTACTGAGCGCTGAGGAGTGCCTGGCATTCTATTAAGTGCCCCCTTGGCAACAGCCCTATGAAGTAGGTGCTATTATTTTTCACTTTTTACAAGTGAGACACAGAGAGGCCTGGAACCAGACCTCTGACTCCACACCCAGGCTTTCCAAACACTCTATCCTGGGTGCTCCATCTCCTATTCCGTGCTAGAAGCAGAATGAATGGTCATTATTCAAAGGAAAGGTTAACCGACCAATGATAACTTTGCTAACAGACCAATGACACTTATTCGAAATTAATAAATATGCATTGGGCTTACTGATCCCACCCCCACGGCTCCCCAAAATCATGTCAGGGGCTTGGAAGGATGCCACAGGGTTTTGTTGCCCGGGAGGCCAGTGCCTGTCCCAGGGATGTAGGCTGAGCTCAGTAGAGAGGAGTCCTGGGAGCCCTGCTGAGGAGGCCCAGACGCATCCAGCACCCCCACAGAAGCAGGGCAGGGGGCACTGGCAAGCTTCCAGGAAGAGGAGCAAAGGCTCTTGCAGACCACCCACCAAGCCCACCATACCCAGAAAACATAGAAGGTTCCTCATGGGCTCCCTGGGAACATGTTCCCAGGAGAGCCTGGCTTCTCCTCCAGTTTTTCCTGCAAGACTGCTCAGCACCTCAGTCCTCCCAGCCGATTCCTATTCCTATTTCGCAGGAAGACAGACTGAGGAACTGCAGCTGCTGAAGGTCAAAGAGATGAGCAGAGATTCAGACCTAGACCCTCCTGTGCTAAAGCCCTCAGCTAGTACATGGACGTGCTTTCGAGGAAAAGCAGCAAGCACACAGGAGCAGAAAGCATTTTGTCAAAATTATTATTATAAATTCATGCCTGATTCCCAAATTACAAAACCAAAACTGAAGCAGTGCAGTTTCTCAGGCAGTTTTCTCCTAAATGCTCATCAGCGTTCACCTCAGAGCCGTTCTCCTCATAATTTTATGCATGGCACTTTTCTAACCATTCTCTAAAGAGCAATTTCTTCCCGCCCTCCTCTGACGAAAGGAGAGAATGTGCAAAAGTCAAATCAGATTACAGTCAGCCCCCAGGGAAAGTGGGAGATTCTGCTTCACTGAACTTGGGTCACTTGACAGAAAAATTGGAAGCAATTTGAATGGTTACCAACAGGATAGGGTCAGCTAGACAGGGCAGCAACCAGAGAAAGCATTAAGGGAATCATTTTAAACAATTACGGAAACTGTGTAGCAACATGAAATAATTCTTAGGTATAATTATAAGTGAAAAGGAGAAGACAGAAAATTGCACATGTACTGCCTTTGCAACCACATAAAAATAAATATAAATGCTCATGATCAAAGACTGGAACAAACCATGGACAAGGAAATAGATGTTTTAAGGTCAAGGCTGATTTTTTTCCCCTTGTGTGCTAAGTTGTTTCAGTCATGTCTGACTCTCTGCGACCCCATTGACTGTAGCCCACCAGGCTCCTTTGTCCATGGGGTTTTTCCAGGCAAAATTCCTGGAGCGGGTTGCCCTTCCCTTCTCCAAGGGATCTTCCCAACCCAGGGATCGAACCCCTGTCTCTTTTGTATCCTGCGTTGGCAGGCAGGTTCTTTACCACTAGCGCCACCTGGGAAGCCTTTTTCCCCTTCACTTCCTAAATATTCTATGATACGCTGTGTTGCCTTCATAACCCACATGTGATTTTTATCTTTAAAGAAGACAATTCTTTGATCTTATCTCTAGTTTGGAACGACTTTTTTAAGCACAAAACCATTGGAGGGAGTTTTGAAATAAAAAATACTGGTTTGGGGGTATGTAAAAATTCAATTTTTTTAAACCTCAAAAAGTACTATCGATACAGGGCGAAATTTGGAAGGAAATGCTCTGAAGATGTTATTATAAGGCCAAAGGCTAGGAATGTAGGGGATTTTTACTTTCTTTATGGTTTTCTATAGTGTCTGATTTTTTTTGGCAGGACAGTCCATTGTTTTTACTATCAGGAAAAAATATTATTTATATTTTGAAAAGAAAGTTGACATAAAAAATTAAAGTGTAAGTTAGGGGAATATTTTTGAAAATAAAACTCTCACAATTCATAAGAAAAACACTAAGATTTTCACAAATAAATGGGCAAATGGTAAAAATGGACAGTTCATAAAACTGGAGATTCGAATGATCAATACATAGGTATTAAGAGTTCAGTCTTACCAGAAAAACAAAATTGCTTCCTAAATCAACGAGATACCATTCCTGCCCTCACTTTCATCAAATCAGCAAGTCATTTTTTAAATTATATTATTTAAAATCAGACAGATGCATACTGCCTCTGAGAATATAACAGATACAGGATTTCTGGAATGCAATCTTGCAATATGTATTAAGAATTATCAAAATACTCTTCAATCCTAGAATCCCAAGTATAAGAAATATCTCTAAATTTTAGCAAAGTTTAATCACACAGATGTTCATCCCATTATAATAGTACAAAATTGACAGTACGTTGGCTATTACTATTGTTCTTGTTACTACTATACTAATATACATGTTCCCCCACTCCGTCAGTCTCTTCACTTGCATGAGTGCTAAGTTGCTTCAGTCGTATCTGACTCTTTGTGACCCTATGAGCTATAAACCACCAGGTTTTTCTGTCCATGGGATTCTCCAGGCAAGAATACCAGAGCGGATTGCCATGCCCTCCTCCAGGGGATCTTCCCAACCAGGGATCGAACCAGCATCTCTTACATATCCTGCATTGGCAGGCAGGTTCTTTACCAGTAATGCCACCTGGGAAGCCCCTACATACTGAGCACCAGTCCTGGGCTTAGCTCTGCCAGTGGTGCATGCAGTGAATCCTCTCCCTCAAGAATTCACTATGTGGGGGCCGGACGGGGTCTGGGAGGGCTGGGAGGCTCTTTGAGGGAGTGATGTAGACCACTGGAAGCACTGAAAAGAGAACAGGGAGGGAAGCCTGCTGCCCAGCAAAGCCCTCAAATATGGAGGCAAGAATAAGTGAACAGACAAACAAGTGTCCGACGTGTTATTGGCCTACCTTTCCTTCTGTTCTTTCAGCATCCAGGTCTCCCAGTCCCTGCACCCCACCAGCTCTCCACAACCCAACCCCAGGCCTCTGCACAAAGTCCTTTAACCAGATGTGATTAAGCTATAGAATAGCCAAACATGAAATGTTTACCAAAACAATAACACTCTTACATTTTTGTGATGGGGAAATGCTATAGTGTGTTGTTAATTGAATAACGCAGGATATTAACTCATACAATGGTATAGTGCCAATGGATATTCAAATGTGGTTGGTATCTCTGGGTGGAGTGGTCAAAGGGTGGGTTTGGTCTTCTATTTTTTCTCTTCTTCCTTTTTTATTTTGCAAATTTTGTTCATGTACTATTTTTGTAATCATCAAAATCATCAGGGATAACTGATAACTCAGTTGGTAAAGAATCTGCCTGCAACGCAGGAGACCCTGGTTCGATTCCTGGGTCAGGAAAATCCACTGGAGAAGGGATAGGCTACCCACTCCAGTATTCCGGGGCTTCTCTAGTGGCTCAGACATTAAAGAATCCGCCTGCAATGTGGGAGACCTGGGTTCGATCCCTGGGTTGGGAAGATCCCCTGGAGAAGGGAAAGGATAGCCATTCCAGTATTCTGGCCTGGAGAATTCAAGGGTTGCAACAAATTGGACATGACTGAACAACTTTCACAATCATAAAGAAATGCTATTAAAAACACAAATTGAAATGAGAAACGTGTTCCTTGGTTCGGAAACCACAATGTTGTGGAATGTGTTCCATTCCTGCTGGTCTGCATGTCTGAATGGTTTTACCTGGGGAAACTATTTTGTGAACCTTGAAGGACTCAGACTGGGGCAAAGTTCAGTCCTCCTGTCCCTTGGAGAAAAAAAGCACCACGAGATATTTTCCTTCTATCCTTCAAAAATCGAGTAAGAGGCTCTGAGCTGGCACTGTGACTGTCATCATCACCAGCACCGTTCTCTTACAAAGCAAGACTTGTTGTTTATATTCATTTGAGTGTCACAGGAATCCTGCGTTCAACAGCAGTAGGACTTTTTGCTGTTCTCTTTCAGGTGGAGACTTGGAGAAGACAGCTTTGCCTGAAGGCACATAGTTGCTAGGTCCTGTGCTGGGATCCCCCGGCACATGGCTGTCTTCAGAATTGGGAACAAAACACCTTCTTACTTTTTCCTGGAACAGCAAGCTGCATCTTTTAGAGAGACAGGGAGCATGCAGAAGAGTCTACAGGCAGAACCA